ATAAATGCCTTTTATAGAAGAAGCAGCAGTGTAAGCGTAGAGGATTCTTGCTCCTGTGCTGTGTGACCAAAACTCTCCCACCCAGAAAAAATACTGAATTAGGCATTTTGAGTTGAGAGGGGACTTGAACAGGATTCAAGCATTATCACTTCTGCAGTGAGGTTTGCTGTATTAAAGACCAAAGCCTAAACAGTTCGTGTAGTTGAATTTTTGTATGTAGAATTAAACATCAACAGGCACAAGTAAAAAAGATCTGAATTATGGCTAAATCTAGTCCTTTATATACATGTGTCAGAATTCTTTTCAAGTCTGGGGTTTTTTCTCCCCTGAAGGAGAAAGGATCTTGTGCACCCTTCAGTGGATAGTTTTAAGGCACCTCTTCCATATTTTCTTATCCTAATGTGTAACCTTATTGCTTTGCTCTAGCTCCTAGCTTAATGACTGCAGGGCTCAACCACATACTGTATTTTTAACTCTGCTTTCCTTTGTCTTGAGCTTTATTGGGTTGCACCTCGGAGCCCTGTTAACCCAAGCTTTGTGTGCTGCAAGAGGGTTGTGCAATCAATGTTGCTGTTTATTTACTGCATATTATTCAGTCGCCGCTCTGCAGCCAGTCACTGAATTCTTCCGCTCTTGACAGTTCTTGTCACTACCATATCTGAACATATCACAAGCTTTGCTTCATGTCACAACTTTGGTTCCATGATGCTTCTGTAAGGTGAAAAGTTGTAGCTTTCATCTCTGACACTGTAGGTGTATAAAACTGCTGGGCGCAGGGCAAACATCTCCCTTTTATGGAAGGAATTTCTGTGCAGCAGTGAGGTGAGTCTCCACTGTGCTGACTCCCCAGGTTCTGAAAGAAGAGAGAAGCTCCACTTGTTCTGTGCTATTGTGCAGATCCTGTCCAACACACCGATGTCTGTAGGAGCCCGTTTAAAGTGTATCATAAAGCAGGGCTATTCTAGAGTACCAGCCTTTTGAGTCCTGGCAGTTTTGCAGCCCAGACTTTGCGATGTGTGTAATACCACCACAAAGCAACTCCCAGTTTTGGAATACTGTGAGTCAATGCAGATTACAGTGCTGTCCCATTCAGTGGTGTGGCTTATGTTTGTCTCCTCACTATCCCGGATCCACAAGGTTGCATTCATGGCAGCACATCCATAGAAAGATTATAGTGGTCTGTTGTGCCTTCGTTTCAGATTTCTAGCATCTTCCACTGAAAACCTGTATTAATACTGGTAAGGTGAATTTGAGAGCGCTGACGTCTATATGAGGTGACTATTGCTCCTGTCCTCTTAGAGGAAGTAACTAGTATCCAAAAGTTGCCCAGTAAAACAAGTCTATGGAAATTTTTATAAAAGCGAAGAAGAGGAAGAGTTGATAGTGTTTATTCTGCTGCAATCACTAAAGTATAGCAGGAAGGGTAAAGGTTGCAATATATCTTCTCAGGTGTCAAAAAGATGTATGAGTTGTATATGAGAACGGGTTGAGCTACGTTTTTCATCTCCCTAGTTCAAGTAACTGCTCTTTTCCTTTGAGACTCTTTTTCCCCAAGACTGTCCATCAGGTTTTTTTGATACTTAGAGTACAGGTTCAGGAAGTTGCTTGCTGGTGCAGTGGCTCTGCGGCACTGAAGGTCAGTGCCCAAATACCTTCTGCAGTTTCTCTCTTGCAGTGATCTGCAGAATGCTGCTGCGGGATCCTTTGCCTCTGCCTTTGCCACCCTTGTCCTCTGTCCCACAGAGCTGGTGAAGTGCCGGCTGCAGGCCATGCACGAAATGCAGTTGTCAGGAAAGATAATCCAGGGACACAAGTAAGTATACACCCTGCCTAGTATCTCTGATACCCTTTTATGGGCACTTATTGTTTTTAATTCTGCATTGGCTCAGCATCACATCTGTAGTGCACTGTTAACCAGAGATGAGTTGTGGCTGGGTGGGTCAGAGCCTGGAGATCTTTCAGGGACTAGTAAATGTGGATGGCAGCAAAGGGCTCCTGGCAGGAGCTTGTTTTAAGTCTTACTTGAGTCCTGTTATCTACACGATAGATCTAACCCTTAATGGTAGCTGCAGTTGCTTATTGTTCTGTAACCTTCTTATTATCTGGCTGTTAAGCATCACTAACTGGATCAACCTCTCTATCAGTACAGTTTGGTCAGTAGTGAAGGGTGTTATTCAAAAGGATGGTCCCCTTGGATTTTACCGTGGCCTGTCAAGCACTTTGCTGCGGGAAGTCCCAGGCTATTTCTTCTTCTTTGGAGGATATGAACTGAGCCGGACGTTCTTTGCCTCTGGGAGATCAAAAGATGAATTAGGTATGGTGCCCCTTTTTCCAGGTGGATTATAGCAAGTGTGCTGTCATGGGGGACGTAAGGGAGGGAGATACACATATTTTACAACTGCTATGCATTATTAGTGTAAAACAAAGGAAGCTGGACATACAGAATATGGATGTCTGCATTTGGTGTGTAATAGTAATGAATTATTGAAGCGACCACTTTCTGATGGAGCAGGATGTATTGTAGATGGAGAATAAATACAGCGACCTAACAGTAATATTACAAAGCTACTCAAATATCTGACTCTACAGTGTAACACAAGTCTGAACTATTTCATTTCAGCGGCTGTTTAGAGCAATTTTTGACATCTTGAACTGTATGTTCAAGTGCGTGCTGAAATGTGTGCTGACCATTAGCTGTGATTGCAATGATAGTAAGAGAACACTGAGATTGAAAATTAGACATGAAAAAAACCAAGGAGATGTCAGAATAAAGGTTGCTTGTCTCCTGTTGTAAGACTGCACAATTATACTTTGTCTTGCTGGGAGTTAGGATTTCAGCTGCATGCATTTTGGTCTTTGCTGTTGCAAGATGTTTATAAGCATCTGATCTGAAACACAAAATGAGGTTGCATCATGAAAAATGACTGATCACAAAGTAACTTCATTGTACCAATAAGTACAGGTGATTAGTGACACTATGTGATGTTACTCTAAATCATTTTGTCATTAGCATTGGGAAGTGACTACAAGTGTGAAAGGAGTAGAGTTAATGTAGTTAATGCAGTCAAAACAGAATTCTGAGTTACGCTTTTTTAGCATGGCCAATAATCTAAGAGACACTCCTTACAACCTTTGAGCTTCTGGTTAGTCTTGCAACTTACCAGTGGCTTAAAATTAACTTAAATGTCTGGGGGGGAGCAGAAACTGCTCTTCTGTCATAAGCAGGTTCCTCTGTGTTCTCTTTGACTTCTGTAGATCAAATAATGTGATATTTATGTTGGTGAATATTTTTGTGGTGTGCATAAAAGCTTATTTCTTAACTTTAGGTCCCATTCCTTTGCTACTGAGTGGAGGTTTTGGAGGCAGCTGTCTGTGGATTGCTGTGTATCCTGTGGACTGTGTCAAATCTAGAATTCAGGTTCTTTCAATGGCTGGAAAACAGACAGGCTTCATGGGAACATTTGTAACTGTTGTGAGAACTGAAGGTGAGTATGCAGTGTATCTACTGAATCTGTAGGGCTGCAGATTGAAATCTCTACCCTCCAATACCAAAATTGCTTAAGAAATCTACTCCACTGATAATGTGTTAGACACAGACAATAACTGTTTCTAACAAACAGAAAAATTGATGCCTCATGTAGTCTGGGAAGCGTGGAATCTCGAAATTGAGACCTGCTGCATCTGCTGTGCCTCTTGGGTCAGGAGACAGTTCACGTGAAGCTAAAAAAAGCTCAGTGTGCATTAAAAGCAGATAAAGGAATGAGCCCCGTTAACTGTGACCAAACCTATACAGGAAAATTGAAGGAACCAGTGAAGTTCTTTACAGAGTTTTTTTTTCACCTCTAGAAGTCAATACCTGGCTGGCTGAGGGCTGTTGATAAACCAGTCCTATCTAGCCTGGCAGCTTGGGGCATCTGCCTCAGTGTCTCAACTTTTAAGAAGGCCTGCACCAGGCATTTCAGAAGATGGTGTTAGAGTATGTGTGGCAGCAGACAAGAATCCTGGCCCCCTTACTAGGGAAGATACTCATCAGGGTAGGAGTCTGTCTTGGGACACAGCTCCAACACAGTCCTGCTGCTCTTTCTGTCCCCTTGGCCAGCTGTGGTACAGCTGCTGTGAACTGTATCCTCAGGTGACCAAGTCTTCTGAAGACTGTCTCATACCTGAGATAAGCTTCTATAACGTAAGCAACTTCAATGGCTAAACTCATAGTACAAGTCTAGATCTTTAAAGATCTTTTAAGGTCTTTTCCACCCTAAACCATTCTATGATTCAACCACTCTCTACAACTACCTGAAAGGAGGTTGTGGTGAGGTGGGTGTTGGTCTCTTCTTCCAGGTAATGGGTGACAGGACAAGAAGTGGCCTCAAGTTGTGCCAGGGGAGGTTTAGATTGCTAACTGGCTCTGATTTCATTTCCAGGTGTACTTGCCTTGTATTCTGGACTAAAGCCAACTATGATCCGAGCATTCCTGGCCAATGGGGCGCTGTTCCTTGCCTACGAGTACAGCCGGAAACTTATGATGAAACAAATAGATTCTTACTGATACCTTCTAGCAGACAGAGAACAAAAGGTTGTTAAAGGATCATTTAAATAAAGGATCAAAAACCTGTAGATCACATCATGGTCTGAGCAGGGCCAAATCAGTGACCTAATTTTAGGAACTCAACTCCACTTTAGGATTTTTAAACTTTTAAATTCAGGTGATTTTATAGAGATGTGTACATGCTGCTTTGAATTGGACCAGCAGAACTATCTCCATCTTGCCGACTCTGCACTAGGTACTTTACAGGTTAAGAAAATACACTTGTGAGTGGCAGTGGTGCTAAAAAGGGTTACGTTGAATTGTTGGGTTTAATGTAACATGCAGCAGCAGGCTGTGATTTGGTTAAGGCAAAGCACTGATTTAAAATGTGTGCCGTGGTGGTGAACTTTTTCCCAGTTGTTGCTGGCAAGCGTCTGACTCAAAATAACCAGTCCTGTCTAATCTTGCTGAGTATGACTGACTGGTGTGTATCCCTCAGCTAGATGCCTGTCCTCCAGCTCCCTTCTGCTCTGTGGCTTTCCAAGGCCATGGCAATTGGGGTCTGATTCATGTATGGGCTCATGAAAGCCCACCCCCTACCCTGTATGAGCTGAGATGTGCCTGCATTTGAGATAAAACATGTAGTTACTGGGTTTAAGGAGTCTGTGCAAAGTTTGTAACAAGTGGGTGGCAACACTTCATTATTTTCTAAATCCTTCCAAGAGGTGCTAGAGGATACTAAGCACCGCTCAATTAAACATTTAACCTAAGGGGGACTGCTGGAAATAGCTGTTGGCTCAGACCGCAGAATTGTAACTTCGTGCAGGCTCCTGTTTGAGTCACCTTGACATGAATGAGTCTGCTTGAAGGACAGGAAGCTGAAGGGGAGCAGAAAGCCAGAACCGAGTTCTTAACGACAACTGACACCACAGTCTCATGTGCTGTAGTGCTTTTACTTACTTGGGCTGGAGTCCTGCTGCTTGCTGTGTCTCCTCAGCTGAATGGAAAAAGCTCATGTGACTGGGTAGTTCATATCACCTTCAGGCCTGGAGGGCATGCCTGCTTGGTCACATTACTTGATTAAACATGCAGTTAGTCAGTATTATCCCAAATTGGTGCAATAAGACCTATTTCTAGATGCCACTTCTATTCTTGAAGTAGGATGTTCTTTAAACAAGCGTGCTCTGCCTTGCAGGGAGCAGCTCCTGCCTACCCTGGCAGAAGGCAAAGCAGGGCTTAGAGCAGTGCAATTCATGGCTCAGGCCTGGAGTTGTACAGAGGGATATTGCCTGCATGCAACATCCAAGATCATCAGAGCTACGTAATGATTAGCACCTTGTCACAGCAACCACAACTCGTGAGTGACTGACAACAGTCACAGCTGGAACGGCTCAGTTTTGTACGCTACAGCTTCCATTTCAGACCTCAGAAACAGGAAACGCAGCTTCAGGTGTCATTGAAAGCATCTCAGTACCTGCTGCCTGCAGCAGCAGAGCCAGTGTGCACTTAAACTGGCTACTCCACTGCACTGTCACAGCCTCTGATGAAGGGTGGTTGCTGCAATTCCACAAACTCTTCCTGCTTCCCCCAGCCTTCCCACACAGCAGGAACTGTTCATCTCCCTTTCATATACCCCTGAGAAAAAGCAGTTACAAGCAGGGCAGGGCTGAAGAATTTTCAGTATCATCTGTTGCAAGAGTTTACCTTGATTGACCGGTACCCTAGGGGCAGTAATACTATGCATTGTCAGTACTTTAAAAGGCATTATGCTAAATGTTTAAATAATTCAGGTACAAGGGTGAGGCTTTAAGAGTAGTTAGACTTTCCCCTCTTTTCTCTTGTCTACCCAAGAGAAATAGTATATTTGTATGAAAAGGTGAGGACTGATTCCCCATCAGCATAATACTTCAATCTATTTCATAGATTTGTCTTTGCTTTCATTTTTTAAAGCTGATGGTTGCAGTTTTTAATACAAAAGTTGAAGCTTCAAGTGAAGCAGGATATTTAGAACTGAACCTACAGCAAGAAGGTGGTGGCTGAAAGAAGACATGCAGTTTGAGAGTTTACCTTTTGAAGTTTATGTAAGCAGTAATTTTTTCATTCACAGCTGCTGAAGGTGTACACATGTATCAGTGGTTCAGCTCAGAACTTTATCTGTTGGTATAGGAATTCACAGGAATAAAGTTTGACTTGATTAACTGTGTGCCTGACTGTTTGTGCAACAACTGAGAAAGCGTCACTAGCTGAGGAGCAAAGAGCGGTAAAGTCAGTGTCGCTGCCCCTCCAGAATTAAAGGAAAAGGCTTTTTGCCATCAATCAATGTACAAGGGCAAGTGCCAAGTGCTGCACCTGGGGAGGTCAAACCCCATGCACCAGTACAGGCTGGGGGCTGACCTGCTGGAAAGCAGCTCTGCTGAGAGGGACCTGGGAGTCCTGGTGGACGACAAGCTGACCATGAGCCAGCAGTGTGCCCTTGTTGCCAAGAAGGCCAATGGTATCCTGGGGTGTATTAAGAGGAGTGTGGCCAGCAGGTCGAGGGAGGTTATCCTCCCCCTCTACTCTGCCCTGGTGAGCCCCCACCTGGAGTACTGTGTCCAGTTCTGGGCTCCCCAGTTCAAGAAAGATGAGGAACTCCTAGAAAGAGTCCAGAGGAGAGCAACTAGGATGATAAAGGGACTGGAGCACCCCCCCTACGAGGAAAGGCTGAGAGAGTTGGGCTTGTTCAGCCTGAAGAAGAGAAGACTGAGAGGGGACCTTATCAACACATACAAATATCTTAAGGGCGGAAGTCATGAGGATGGAAGCAGTCTGTTTGCAGTGGTGTCCAGCGACAGGACTAGGGGCAATGGGTGCAAACTGAAACATAAGAGGTTTCAGTTGAATATGAGGAAAAACTTCTTTACTTCGAGGGTGACAGAGCACTGGAACAGGCTGCCCAGGGAGGTTGTGGAGTCTCCTTCTCTGGAGATACTCAAGGCCCGCCTGGATGAAGTCCTGTGTAGAATGCTCTAGGAGAGCCTGCTTTAGCAGGGGGGTTGGACTAGATGATCTCCTGAGGTCCCTTCCAACCCTTACGATTCTGTGATTCTGTGATAAAGCTCTCAAAATAGATGGGGAAGTGCCAGCTATAACAAGGTGCTGTGAAACAACTTGCAGATTTTACATAAGCTACCATGGAAAATAAAGCCCATAGTTTAGCCCTTGGCCTGGTGCTTTGTTAGTACCAAAGTCAGTTCTAATATTAGGGCTCAACTCAAGTTCCAAGTTTCTAGATTGATGATTACTGTGACACACACTGAACAGAATAATGCCAGGAGTCTATCACAGGTCACCTAAATTCCACATGTATAAGGGATGAGTGTCCAGGGCCCTGAGGGCAGAGAAGGTCACTGCTGCAGGGAGGTTAGGAACTGTTGTTAGCATCTGAGCAGTGGTGCTTGGCTCTCTGGAGAGAGCTGTGGTATCTCCCTCCTACAGCCTTTCTGTTACTCATTTCTGCTCATACAGTAGTATTTACTGAACTGCATGCTTCAGCTAGAAAAATCTGACTCTTGCCATTACAGCCTTGGCTGCTGCTACATGAGGAGAAGAGCTTACTGCATAAGCAGGAAGAAGGTTCACCTTCTTTGCCCTGCAAGCAGTTAGAAAGGGCATCCCAGGACAGTGATATCCAATTGCCAGAGCTAAGCCAAAAGGGCCTTAGTCATCAGCCACTTCTAGCTGCAATAAAATGGCAGCCTGTTCCAGCTCCTAGTACATTCAGTGCAGAGGCCTCCACTGCCTTTGTGCGCCATCGCCCTCTACTGCTGCAGCCAGGGTTTCACCCCTGTCTAAGTGGGTATCAATCGATCTCCTCTTTTTCTCCAGCCAGAGAGGCAGGGGTTGCATTAACTTTGCCAGCACCCCTTAACCTGGAGGGACAGGTTACTAAATTTATGTGCAATAGCCCATGCAGCCTCTGAAGCACCACTGCAGTTTGGGGAACAGCACTGCAGAAGTTAAGCATGAGCCAGTGCACCCTGGCAGCAAAGGCTAGGCCACAGTAGCAGGCTCTGGAGCCAGCAAATGCGACAGTTCTGACCGCTCTGCTCACCCCGCTCACTTCTGTCAGGGCAGAATCACATCCAATTTCACATTCCCCAGTACAAGAAAGGCAGTGACATACTGGAGCAAGTCAAGCAGAGGGCAACCAGGATGGATGGTGGAGAGAACTGGGCTTATTCATAGAATCATAGAATCATCATTCACCCATCGCGAAGCAGAAGAGAGATCTCCCTGCTGCCTGCAGTTACTTCATTCATGGGAGGGGACAGAACCAGGCTCCTCAGAGAGATACAGGGGCAGGACAAGAGCCAACAGCCACAGCTTGGAAGATGGGGAATTCCAACCAGAAAGGAAAAGGTAGTTACAAGATTAAGGCTCATGTGAAACCCCTTGGAACAGAACTAGGTTGTGTGAGTCTGCTCTAGCTGGGCCTGTTTTGCCCAGGAGTTTGGACTATGTGACCTCCAGCTACTTCCACCCACACTATCCAGGTGACCCAGGTTCACTGTCCTGCACCTAGAGCTGCAAACAACTGGTAGAATACTTTGTCATTAAAGGCAGGTTTCAACCTCCACACTTGAAGTGGAATGCTGACAGAAGCAGCTTCCAACTCTGGGGGTTTCCAACAGCCCAACTCCTAAATACCAGGTATTTACACAGCAATAGCAAAACTTGAGTCCACACATGCACTGCATAGTATGCCAGGGCCCTGAAGTAAGCACCTGGAAGGTACGAGATATCTCTGCCTACTCCATTAGCTCATTACTAACTATGGAAAGCTATGTCAGTGCATTGCTCTCTTGGTTCTTAACAAGAAGGAACAGAACCAAGCAGCTAACCTCAACATGTTTCCCATCAAGGAAGGCGTGAACAGTTTCTACAGAACAGCTGCACTGCTGAGAACAGCTGGAAGCAGAATAAGTATTGTCTGTGCATGACAGGTCTTAGTCTAGCTCAAGAGGAGCATTTGCAGTATTAGCTCAAAGGAGCAAGTGCACAGGTCAAGCCCATCACATGCAGGTATTAAGGCAAGCCTGGCTAACTGGCCCCAGGCAGCTGGCACCCTCATGAGCTGCTGTGCCACCTCAGCCCTCTGTGGGGAGGTGCAGTGGCAGGGAGGTACCAGTGCAGTCAGCTCCCAGGCCAGGTGTTGCTCACAACCCTACATCATGGATTTCTGGTGAGCCATGACTCAAGACTTCTACTGAAGTAGTATCTGGCTGTTCCAGATTACTATTCCTCCCTCCAAATTCCTATATTCCACCGACCAGTGGAAAACCCTGATGCTGAGGGAAGGTGTGTCAGATTCTTCCAGCAGTCTCCTGCAGGCTGCTGGTCTCCACCCACCATCAGATTAATGCATTTGCTTAAAGGCCAACAATTGTCTTAGATTAATAAAGTAGGGATTACCAGTATGTAGAGACATCTAAGCTCTAAAGGATCCCACAGCTCATTAACATGACAGTCAGCTGACACTAAGGAACACTGAGGAGTATTATTGCTCTGCACAACAGAACTTCATGTAAGTTTATTTGAGAAACTGTATCTACATAGAAATAGATTAAGTACATCAAAATGAGACTGCTTCAAATTTATACTGAAGCAGCAAGACATCTTCCAGGAAGAGATTAATTTTATACGTTTCCCTTCTTTCAGCTTTCCCTTATGGTTCAGTAAAGTTCACCTCCACAGCAAATGTCTCACTATAGACTTTCCATGTTTTAGACTTGTGAGGGTTATCCAGTTCATTCCTGGGAAGGTAGAGTCTGAAAGACAAAATTCAGTAGCATATCTTACAGCCTAAGACATGCTTTTTCTTTCAGCCAGCCAAGAACTTCAAGAAGATTAAATAGTCCCACATCTTGAATTCAGGCAGAAATCAGCCATACCTGTGTAGGGCTTTGGATCTCAATTAGTCTGAGAAACATACAATCAACCTGATGAGTTTGTGGGTTGGGCTTTTCCTCCCCCCTCCCCAGGATGCAAGACTGTTAAGAGTAAAGTTAGTGTTACCTTCAGCTCAAGGCCTCCCGATGGGATGCAAGTGGCAGGAGTTTAATAACTGACCTTCCTAATGGCAAGGATTTGATTCAGTAATCAGTCAAGCTCATCAGGCATGTGCTCCACTTTTAATGCTTGCTAATTCATGTCTAGTTATCTCTTGATAGCACTTGCACATCAGCTGTGGCTGAATTAAAGGCACAGAGATAGGAGCACTGCCTTAGCAGCTGTTTCACTTCTGATCAGACCTAGTCCCCCTGAAGTCTATCAGAATTCTCTGGGCAGAAAGAGGGAGATGGTCTCTACTAAACTGTGTTTAAGAGAAGGTCTGGTGGGGCATCCTCCCTTGCCCTGGAGGAAACTAAGCACTTGTGTGAAACTTTTGAGTGGCACTGTTGCAGGGCTATCAGACAGCAGGCCTACATTTCTGCTGGCACTGGTTTGGTCTAACCAGATGTCTGCACCTAGACCATAAGGTGCATTGCTGTCTCAGCATATCAAACTTAGAGTTAGAGTTATGAACATAGACTCATGGCTACCTCCTCATATGCTCTAATGGGATCAATGAAATAAAAGTTGTTTCCTTCCTATTCCAGTCATGGAGAGAACAGTAATTACCTCATGTCAAGTTTACTGTTCCTCTGTCTAAATCTGTCAAGTTTGGTAGACAGAAGATAAGGATCTCCTGTCTCTGCATTTCTACATCACTCCCCTAACAAGACAGACAAGCCCAACTTTTGCTGGCTGGAGCTCCACCAGGAGTTCTAGTCTCAACAAGAACAAGCCACAGTGATTTCTAGCTTTAACAAAAGCATGAGAAGCAGTAAGTTGAAGACCCTTTCTCTGGGATCCCAAGCATCAGTATCTCTAACTCTGGTCTTAATGTTTGCCTGCTAAGCTGCTGAAGGAGTTTCAGCCTCTCAGTCAGCCATGCTATAAAGGATGGCAGAGTTGCCTTAGGTTTGAATAGTTAGCATTACCTTTTTGAATTCAAGCTCATTAACAACACTTAAGAGTGCTGAGGAAAGAGTCCAATGGATTAAGTTGATTCAGATAAAGAGCTCACATATGTTTAAAACACTTGGCACAGTGCAAGCAAGCATGTGCCAACTGCCTGCTTGCAAGTTACAACTGAGAGTCAGAGACCAGTACTCACACAGAAGCTAAGATCAGCCAGCTATCTCAGCTTTCAGTACCATTTTAGAAATGTTCAACTCTGTTCAGAAACCAGAAGTTAGGATCTGAAGGCAGCCACTATGATCACTTACCTGTTATTTTCAATAAAGGAAGTGTTGAACCAGAAGAAGAATGGGCAGGCATCATAGCCCTTTGGGAGATCCTAAAAGACAAAGACCTTATTTAAGGACTCCATTAGACAACAGGACTTATTTCTTGCAGAGCAAGGGTCCCTGCCTGTCCTCAGTAGTTTGGTTTGCAAAGCTACAGTGCCAGCATCAGTACACTTGAAGAGGCCAATAGCACACCCAGATCACTATTTTCACTGAAAATGTTTCAGGACTAGGTCACTCAAACTTAACATGATCAAGTAACATGACCCATGTTAGAAGCAGCAGGTATTCAGCTAAAATGTCGTGGTTGTACTGTATGAACAGTCAGATGCCTCCCCCACCTTCACAGGCTGATGTAGAAACACTTGCTGCATTGCTCACTGCACAGAGGTGGAACAGCAGCTGCTACAGTGAGGCCACAGGGAGGAACACAGATTCTGCCCCACACAGCACAGCCAGCACCCAGCTGCAGTTTGCACAACAGCCTCTCTCCATACTCAAGTGAGGGTCTTTGTGCTGTTGTTATACTTACAGAGTGCGATTCAAATCTGACTTTCACATCACCACTTATAACAGGGCTGTCTTCCAAGCCAATGACTACAGAGTCACTTTCAGAATCAAAGAAGAGCTGGATAACAGAATAAAGTATTATTTCTATGAAAAGTTATCGCAGAGATACAGGGGGCCAATTCATGACCATACCTAGGTACTCATTCATGGTATACAAATACAATAGCAGTGCTAGAAAAATAGCCAACAATTTAAGCTATTCTGGTCAGAGTGAGCTATTGTATTTAATTGACTTCTAGGTAAGTCTTTCACTATCTTACCACTACTTTTCCTGTGATTTAGCAAAGCTTAGCCTTTTCATTCTCTCAGAATGTATAGCATACATTTATTTAGATAGTTTTACATCCAGTATTCAACTTTTACAGGAAAACACTTTTGACCCAAGTCAGCTTTCAGCTTCTGCAACTCAAATGACAGTATTTCATAGTACTCTCACCTTGCAGTTTCCTTGACTGGCACATACACATTCCAGTACAATTTGCTTCCTCACTATTATCTGCACCTTCATATCAGTTCCATTGCCTTTCCCAACTCCTAGGAAAAAAAAAAGAGTTGCATTATACCATGGTACATATGTTAGCTGAAGACACAAGTGGTCACGAAAACCAAGTAAAATCCTATTCAAAAGTGCCTTCTCTCCAGAACACCTTGCTATAGACTTTAAAGAACTCAAATCCTAAAGGTGGCTGAAGATTCAGTGGTTGAAAGATGTATTTTGAAGGAGCAGTGAATCCTACTAGTGGAACAGGCTGATGTAGATTTGAGTTCTACTGATGGAACAAGAACCGCAGAATGAAGTCCCCTTGTTCAAGCAGTGCTGAACTTCCAGCCTTTTATCAAAATTGCTAGTACATATGTACAGAAATGGGTGTATATATCAAGCTAAGAAACATTAGTGGATCTAGTTCCACATGTGGAGTTAATCTCATTTGAGAAGCAGTTCCCCTCCCAAACCCAGAACAGGCTGTATGTGAGTCACCATTTGACCTGACCAGACACCCAAGAAGTGACAGAACACATAGGGCAATTGCACCCCAAAATGCTCTTCATTGTATTTTGACTGTGCCATTTGAATTCTCAAATCCCAGTAAGTCTACAGTCCTATCATGGGCTTAGCAAGAGAGACAGAGATCAGTTGACTGTACTAGGAAACCATTACCAGATAGAGGAATGCCCAAATTCAAGAGTTCTTACCATGTATAGAGTGGATTTTGAGGTTTTTTATTTTGAGTTGTCTCTCTGGTGGGAGTTTCAAGTTATACTTGTTTTTCAGGATCTCATAATACCCAACATACCTACTCTGTAATGCAAAAAACCCAGACACATTATGCAGTTTCTACACCCCACACAGACTAATTCTAGGCAGAAATAGAATTAAATAGATCTTCTATGCCAAGTTCTTAGCTCTCATAAGTCCAAAGCTAAGAAAAAAGTAGCCATTTGTTCTTCTTCCCCTCCCCAGTTCAAAATATCCTCTAGACAAATTTGACACCTACATTTTTAAGCAGTATTTAAACTTCATGTTTTAAGAGGAATTCTGTACTTTTGAGTTCAGCAAGGTGAAGACCTTTTGTAGTGTAGCTTTTTAAGGGGAAGAATGTTTAAATGTACAAGATACTATCATTTTACAGAAGCAGCTGTACTTCCATTTATTTTATACCAGCAACTAAAGCACCTGTCACCAGCTTCATCTCACAGTACACAGTGAATCAAAATGAGTAAAGCCCCAAACTGTGGTCTGAGACAATAAACTTGTTCAGTATTTCCTTGTGAATGCAGTCTCTAGAAGATACATTCCTCCACCCAGCCACACCACAGTCATCTCCCCCCACCACCCAGGCCAGGCTGCAGGCTTCAGTCCTTGATAAACAGCCCAATTGTCTTACAGGGTCATGCCCCTGTGAGGGTGGGCAAACACTGCAACAGGTTGCCCAGAGAGGCTGTGGAGTCTCCATCTATGGAGATATTCTAGACCTGACAGGACACAGCCCTAGGCAACCTGTTCTAGCTCACCTTGCTTGAACAGCAGGGTTAGACTGAAAGCTCTCTTAATCTCAACAATGCTGTTACCTTAGATACCAAAATTCAGATTTTATAATATTACACAGAGAAAGTCATAAGGAATGCACTTTGACAAAGGGGGAGAAGGGGAAGATGCAGTGCAACCCTACCAGTTGATAGCCTTCCAACCCTTAAAAGAAGAGTATAGAAAGTTCAGGAGTTAAGCATTAGTAGGAACCTACATCTCTGAAACAAGGCAGGGGAGGCAGGGTAGAGTAAGGACTCACAAGGCTGATGTTGGTTTGGCTACTGTCACTGGACCTGCTCAAGCTTACCTGGGATGGAGTTTCAACTCCTTGAAACTTGGTACTTGTGCTTCTATCAGTTCTTCTCTCCCCAAAGTAGTCCAAGCTTTCCTATGCAGCAACACAATTTCAAGGGTTAAGATACTCATCCCACCACCATTCCCCATCCCGAGAAGTAAAGTGTAAATTAGAATTACACTGGTCAATTCCTGTAAGGGAATGCAAGTGAAAATATACAATAGTTGTTTTGGTACCTTCTAAAGGAGGCTTTTAACTAGAAAGTACTAATTAGGAAGTCAGATACATTAAGTCTGTCATCCATGAAAGAGTGCCAATAAAGCTCATTGAATGAGGAGAGCATTTATATTCCTCAAGCAGTCTGTGGCAGACCAAGCTGAATATTAGTTTGTATCTTCACAAACCAAACTCAGAAAAAAAAATCCACGCTCTGGCCAGACTACCTTGAGTGACCAGGCCTTCTGCAACCCAGGTCTCCAGATTGATATAGCAGACTTGGGATACTAAAGCAGCATATGCGTCTGTCCTGACTGGACTTGCTGATCTTTCTTCCTTTCCCCAGAAGTGCTTCTTGCTGTAATGCTAGCAGTCAACACAATTCTTGTTGCCTCACATTACTTGGAGGGAAGTTGAGGGAAAAAGTTACACTTAAGGACAGGGATACTATCTTTAGTAGAGCATGCTCAGAAGCCATCTACAGTTTAAGTTATTGCTCAAGATCCTAGGTCTATTATGCCTCAAAAAAAAAAGGTGCTTCAGAGTCAGTATCCTGTTAAGTTCTACTTTCCCAGTTCTTTCTGATCAAGAATAGCCTTCATCAAAAAGGATTTTGCATAGTAGCAAGACTTGCAAGAACTTTTTTGTAAAGAGATTGTTCACAGTATCCTTTTACCAGGGGAGACTTTCTGCAGGCTATTAGTGCATTTCACCAATTAAGTAGGTTTGAAAAAGGCATTCTGAATATTAGAAGAATCAAAAAAATAAACACCAGTTTATACCTTTGCACTCTCAAACTGGTCACTGTCTATGAGCCAGGTACAAACCATTGTTCCAGTCCTGCCTGTAATACAAGTAAGAGACAGAAGGTTGAACTACAGGAGTTCAAAGGTATTCTGGATTGTTTTTGTGAAGATGAAGTTACTTTTGAAATAGAAGAACTATCAGGGGATAAGTGACATTAGAGTAGCCACGTGCCTGTATTTCTGGGAAGAACGAGTTCAAGACAAGATACTGCAGTTTAACCCATTCCTTGAAAGCAGTCCCCACATTTCCTTGTAGTATTCCTAGAGATACTTAGGAAGCTGGCCAGCATCTGCATAGTCCATTTAGCAGGGGACAGAGTCAAGCACACACTACTAGGTTACAGACTGGCACTTACCAATGCTCTAAACCTCAAGAGTTCCTTCTCTACTCCAACTTCCCCCCCAAACAAGAAGGCATCAAGACTGCAATATAGTCTCAGTTTTGAATCTAAAGCCTCAGAGGTCAAGTCACTCCTCCCTACACTTGTTCTTCAAGCTGGTTTTGGCCTGCAGGTATTTTCAATGCTCAGTTTTGCAAAACCTTTTAAGCTATGGCTCCAAGTAGGGGAAGAGCCTTCTTTATGTTAAATAACTGCCTGGTTTAAGCCCAGTATTTGCAGTAGTAGCAGACAGCTAAAGATGTGGCAGATGTTTACAGGGAAATTTGACTTATTTGCACAGCTTGCTATGCACTTCAATAGCTCCCTCACTACTACAGGATGCTGATAGCACCTGCAGGTCAGCTCATGTGCAGCAGCTTTCACTAGCCTATTCCCATAAGACTATATAGTACTCTATCATGTAATATCTTGTGTATCTTGATTTAAGATCCAGCAGTACCTATAACATTCCACCCCCCACCACAAGAAATTAAAAACCTTGAGGCATATTACAGTACAGGATTTTCAGTGTGGGTGACTGGATACCAGGGAGCCAAAGCAGCACATTAACACTTTTCATAGTAGCAGTTTGAGTATCTCCCTATCCCCAGTCTCTCCTGGGAGACTGCTGTCCCAGTAGTCAGGACAGCAGGAACTCACTGAAGACCATTTTAAGGAGATCAGATGTCAGTTTAGATTAAGAACCAATTTGAGCTACCTAGGAATGGGGTTGTGCAATACTAAACACATAGAAATACATTGTTGCTAGTCATCAGGATGTCTGCAGAATTTGAAGTTGCACTCTAAATTTACCTCATGCTATGGCTTAAGGCCACACCTAAATCAAAGAAGCCATGAAAAGAATAATGTGTGATTTAGTAGCATACACAGATTACACATGTGAAGTCCTACCTTTGCCTCCTTTACAGTGAATTGCTATGATGTTCTTTTCATCTTGACTCATCCACTCACGGACACTGGCAGTGAATTTCAGCATGTCCCTAGATAAGAGGAAAATTAGTGGATCAGAGCAAATGCCTACATAGAACTATCATGACATATGTATTTCCTGGCAAGACTCACTGTAGCGCTGGGACATTGTGGTCATCAATAAAGATCCTTTCTACCCTGTAGTGGAAGTACTTGGGGTCATAGCCTTTTTCACCTACAAGGAAAAATCTGGAGTTATTCCAGAAAAAGGAACAGACTTGCAACAAAGAAAGTGGCACGTGACACACAACTGCTGGTCCAAGCATATACTAGTGTTTAAAGTACAGTAGTAAAAAATAGACAGATCAAAGTAGAAAACCTATGAGGTAATTTGGCTAAACCTATGCTTAGAATCATAGAATCACTTTGGTTGGAAAAGACCTTTAAGATCATCGAGTCCAACCTTTAACCTAACCCTGACATCCCACCACTAAACCATGGCCCTAAGCACCTCATCTATCCTTCTTTTAAATACCTCCAGGGATGAGGACTCTACCACCTCCCTGGGCAGCCCATTCCAGAGCCTGACAACCCTTTTGGTGAAGAAGTTTTTCCTAATGTCTAGCCTAAGCCTGCCCTGGTGCAACTTCGAACCATTCCCCCTCATCCTATTATCTATGCTTGCTTAGCTTCTAGTTCCACACCTCTCACTTTTAAGTGGAAATTCATCTCCAGGCCCAGATGGCCATTCCTTTCCATAGGGGTTATTTAGGGAACTGAAAGTTAGTGTTTTGATATACTGTCAAGGTCAGCCACAGCAATGATCACTTGAAGTGGTAAGGAGCTGCTAACACCACATTCCTCATCTGTGACCCCTCATCTACCCCTCTCCTGGCTGGAGGACAGTTACTTTTTCAGGACTTCAGTATCAATGCTTCTATATCATACCTTGTATCCTTCCAGCTCTGATACTCTACTATGAAAGCAGAAACCACAGAACAGTTGTTCCTGAAGTATTTTTCATAGTTTTAGCCACCTCTGAACAGAAGAGCTTTTAACTACTCATTCACCTCATTCTTCTAAGTTTTCATTAGAAAAATCCTCCAACATCACCCCAAGTTTTAGCTCAGGTTTAGTTTTCTACTTCTTTAGTAAGAGTTTTGGAACACTGAAGCAATTGTTCAGCATGAGCAAGGAAATCTAAACTGCAAGGCATCCAGTATCTCCTTTGCAATCTTCAGTACAATATATTAGATGCTCAAAGTCAGTAGCCACATTCAGGATAGAAGGTAGTCAGAGACAGCCACGTACTTTTGACAGACTTTAAATTCTTGGAGATCTAGTATTGCCAGCATCATACCTTGAAAAGATGTTTTTCTGTTTAGCGGTATTTCAATACAGTCAGCAGCTAAACATACTTACTGCAGAGATTGTAGACTTTATAGTGGTCTGCATGTTTGGTGTCCAAAAATCTTGCAACTTCCTAAAGCAATAACAAGATAAGAGTTCATAGCAGTTAGTGCTCTACTCTATTTCCACTGCCACCTCATCCCCTGCCCCCCAAGTGTGGTCAGCAACAGTCCAACAGCTCATGTTCTTGTCTGGAATAAAAGTGCAACTGTGCCTACCTTCCCTGCCCTGCATATTTATGTTTCCACAGTATCAGGCAGCATAGCTCTAAAGGGCATTAATGTAGACCTTTTAAACATTTTTAAATAAAGAAGTTCTCATTACTCCTAGTATTACTAGCCTGGGCCAGAACTGACTTGGTTCTCTGAAGCACTCCCAAGGAACAGGAGCATCAGAGCACCAGTGCGTGCACACTGCCAGATACATCCCACTAGGCTTAGCTAAGAGACAACACAAGCAGTGCAGCACAGTGGACACCACCATCTAGTCATTCCAATCAGCCAAGACAGCAGGACTAGGATTGATTTGACAATCTAGTCCACAGTCAATTTAGTGGGAACCTAGAAGTGATACAGCATTCAGAAATACTGAACTTGGTAGACTAGAGATTTTTACCTCTATAGGGTTCCTATAGAAAGACTGCTTCCCAGAAGATGGAAATGACATTGCAATAATGCGATCTGTGGAAAAGACAGCAATCAGAAGTAACAGGGGGAACCCTCCCCACATATAGGAACTACATGATTGAAAGCAACATCATTATGAAACAGCTTATTTCTACCCCAATTATAAGAACAACCCACTCATTTCTGAGAGGTTTTCTTCTGCATTTAGTATAGCTAGAGCAGGAGAATAAGGCTTCCTGGAGCATGAGCTACCATTAAGCATCAGTCCCCATAGAAGCACAGGCAAAAATACTATACGTTAGTCAATAGTTTCTCTGCTCTGGCTCCCTAGGCCTCAGGAGAATTTCTATCATTACATACAGCATGTACAACCTCTCTCCCAGAAGGCTAGCCCTTGAGAACAGTGTCAGAGTCAGGAATCCATGTTTCAAAATCCCACAGAAAAGGAGACAGCCCGGTTTGACTTCATACTTAAGTTTCATTAGTCTAAAACATTGCTTATATTTCATGTCAAGCACTTATTAACTAACTAACTGGTGTTAACAGGACATAACATGCTGCAGAGTGTCATTTACTTCTACAAACCAGTAACATAAGTGAGATCCAGATCAAAGCCATCTTTCATATAACGCCTTTTGTTTTCAGAGACCTGCCAAAAAGAGTAGAGTTAGTCTCCCAAAGGAATGCCAAAGATCAACAAGCGTGGCCTGCTACTACAAAAAACCAACCACTTAGACTCTGAAGTTAAGTCATAAGTAGCAGAACCTCATTTAGGTTCCCTATAGTGGAGGTCACAGCATCAGCTAAAAATAAATGTTTATTGTGTTCGCTTTTAGGTAGAAGCTCCATACAGAATTTTTACCCCGAAGTATCACAGTTCATTCTAGTGGAATTAACACTGCAGATTCTTTGCAGACTGCAGCACGAATCTGTCATTGCTATTTGAGTGTTTGGGGGCTGAGGGAAGGAAGAAGAAAGTTTAGGGCAGCATAACCAGAACTGCTTATTCATATGAAAGAGGACATACTTGAAGCTTCAAGTACCACTTTAGTGCCCCTGATGAAAATAAGAGGCATTTACAATGGATAGGGCTTCAACAGCCAAGTTGCTTATTTCAGGTGAAAACAAAACAGCAGAAGCATTAGAATTCCTATCCTCCCCCGTGTGAGCGAAAGCAGTCCATGTACCACACAAACTAGAAATTATCAGTTGAGACACACGGTGGTGTTGCAATCACTTTGATATGCTGGCCTTCCAGGTCAAGTTGCTGGTAACTCAAGCAAAGTTAAGAATTATTAGCTACACTGAACTTGGAGGCAAAGCTCCAGTATCCTGTCCAGACATGCTGCTTTGGCAATATTATCAGTTACAGACCAACAGGCTGTGGGCAGTCTTGCTACTCACCACTAATGTCTGCCTAGACAAAAAAAAAAATTTGAAACAGTAATAGTAGACCAGAATATATTAAGAGGCCAACTTACCATTCTCCTGGTCACCACTTCAAGTTGCTTCTTTTGTGAAGCCAGGCGAAATATTCTTATTAAGATGACAATTCTCAGAACTCGCAGGAGAGTAACCATTCTAGACGAGAGTCAGATTCACCATGAAAGAGAGTGAACACAACTAAACTTAGATGCAAAGCTTAAAGCTTTAAACTGTTTCAAACAGCTTTTAAATAGCTTTGTTTCATATAACGAACTAGGACTTCAGGATGATTTGGAAGAGAAAATACTATGCTTGAAGAATACCATTATTTTATTGGGGGGGAATATATGTTCTCAATGGCTAACAGAACTAGCAAGCTCCCTGCTTGTTCACAAGCACCTCTACCCAGCAAGCAATAGATTGCCTTAACACTATCTGTTATTATCCCCAAATTCTTGTTCCTTGAAGCTTGTTCTCAAGTACACATTTAAGTCTAAGCAGCGACCTGAAAAACAGCTGAAAAGAGAAGATAGACAGGCTATATACATCATGCCTTGATTAAGAAACCAGAGAACAGATCCGTATAAACCCTGTGTTTAATCATTGAGCAACTTGAGCAGATGATTTGGTTTGAAGAACTTTGAACTACTGTTGAACTTTGAAGCAGGAAAGATGCTTCTGTGAGTGGTTCCACTGAAACAACTGAACAGGGGCAGCCACTTTTGCATACCCTTAGGAACTAGAGCAAACTGACATTCATTCTTTAAAGAGGTATGTAAGCATATACTTTTAAGGAGAACATGCACATATTTCAGGTCCTGATACACTTTGGTAAGAATCCTGGTGAATACCCATAGTAAGGGGGACAAATATGGAAACATTATCCCATCGCCTCCAGTTGAATACAGTCTGCTCTTCACTGATGTGGAGCTTAAAGTTGCAAGACAAGGTTGTTCTTGACACCTGGAAGAAAGCTTCAGTTTTTCTACCAGCTCCTTCCCATTCCAGGATGACCCTGCTGTTTTCAAAACAGAGTTCCCTTGGAGCTAGAAGCCAAGGAAATGAGCCAATACTGGAGTAAAGACTCCATAGCCCCCCCTCCCCAGCCTGAACTACAACTGTGAGAAGCAGCTCTTCAGGATAAAAGTAGTTTGAATTCTGCCCTTTAGGAAGTTGGCCAGTTAAGCATTAGCTCACAGACTGATACTCAGCTCTCATTCCTCAGTGTCCTTTTATAGGCCAGACTTCAAGGAAACAGGTAACTTATCGCAATGCATGCCCAGCTAGACCAGATTAGAAATAGGGACCATACCCCTCCATCAGGGCTTGTTACCTCTATGGACTGCCACCAAAATTTCACTTGTTACATACACTCTCATCTACATAAAAGCTACTCATGTTCTAATTATTCTGAGATGTATCAGGGGCTTTAAGACTGCTGTTTGCTTCTTGAGGAAGGTCTATGGGGAAAGAAGAGTGACAAGCCCCAGGTAGGCTACTGGGAATTTGCTGGATTGTGTGGATGCTACTGGAGTGTTAGGTGGCAAGACCATCCCATCTCAAGATTTGGGATTCAGCCAAGTCTGAGGTATCATGTAGCGCCAGGTAGTAATATTTTGGTCAGAAGAGGACTGAAGAGAAGCTTTACAGAGGGCCTCAAGAATTGTATGGGTGAGATGGTAGGCCCCAGTGAGTATCTTCTGAGAACATCAGTGTGAACTCTTATGTGACCCAAAAGCCTATTCTAAGTCCCCATCAACTTCAGCAAGTCAGAATACAAGGAACACATGCACACCAATCTACAACAGGATGGGTCAGTACAGGATCAGGCCTACTACTAACATAGCCTAGTAAAGACAGCGGTGCAGAGTACCCTGTCAGTGCTATTTCTCCTACCTTTAACTGGATGCTGCCATAAGATGAAAGCTACTTTAGAAAAATGTGGCCAGAGAGATGGGAAGTAATCATTAAACTCAGATTAACATTTACAAAGATCTAGTAGGAAACAGCCTTCTATGATTCTGAGGCTGTAAAAGCTATTCCTTTGACAGTTCTACTTTTTGAAATCTGAGTTTAGCTGGCATTTGAAGAGACTACTAATACTTCCAGATGTTTGTTCAACTCTGGATTCTTCAATAACTCAATTTTGAGTTGTGTTCTTCTAGATTTCCTTCCTTGTGCCCCATAGCCAGTTGAATTGGGCAAGTGATTTTTTTTTTTATTTTTCCCTACCAAAGAGACCTCAACTTCTTTCCCTGGCTGATGCAAGCAAGTTTCACTAATTCAAACCCAGTTCAGGTAGAATTACAACTCTAAGGTTAGTTTATCTGTCTGGAATGGATTCCTCTCACAAATTATCATCTGATCAAGCTACAGAAATCAGATGGAAATACCACTTGAATTAACTTACGCACATAAACAGCATGTTTCCCCTCCCCAGGGCATAGCCAAAAAATCCAACATATATTACCATGGGGCTTTTGGGAAAGCACAGTGGAGGAAACAAGACAGTGTGGCAACTCTTTCTATTTCAAGATCCATTAGATGGAGACACACGTCCCCCCCCAGTTGTCTGTTCCATTTGCTATCAGAATCTAATTAGAATCTAACTCTTCTTTCCAACCTTCTTCAGACTCTCCTCTCTATCAGGGCTGCTACACACTTCCCCCCCAAAAAATGCTTGAGTCAGAGCATTTGATGGCCTCACTATTCACTTTCAGTTACCTCAACTGATATGTTTAGATTATCTCTGCCTTTGAGACAGGGATAGTCTACAGTGTAACTGTAAACCAAAGTTAGGTAGCTCTATCCTTCATTAGTCTGTACCATGAAGTACCATCATAATCATATTCATGATCTAGTATGCACAAATCTAGCTTAGAGATGCCCAAGAAAATTCATAGAAGACTATCAGGAAGAGAGAGCTCACATTCAACAGCTGCCATACCATTCTTACCTTGGTATCTGATCTGCTGCAGCAAGGTCTGAGAAGGAGTATGTCATGTTTATTAATAGAGTGCCCACCACTATCAATGCATCCAAAATATTCAGTTTTGACCGGAAATAGTTCCTGAAGCTGAAACAAAGGAGGGTTTTAGACAGATGCCCATATGGATAGCAAAGATTGAAACACAGCTTCAGGAAGAGAGCCACCTATACAGAACTACTGCTAGAGACAAGGTCTCCTGAAGTAGTGAGTCTTCAGTGCTTAGTGTTAAGAACTAAGAAAATAATCTTATACCTGGTCTACACCCATAAGTCACAGCAAAGCTGATGCAGTTTCCAAGTGCTTGCTTATACCAAAAGCACTTTATAGATTATTCTATAGAAAGGTAACAGCCAACATACACAGCCAAGAGAAGATGTGGTCATTGTCTATGACCAGACAATTAGCCTACAGGGCATCCATGTTCATGGTCCAAGTTTGAAGTATTGCTTCTTTACTAGCCTGAGGGCTTCCCACACTGGCTTAACTTTTGCCCATGTCTTACCCTTCAACAAACACCCTCAGGAGAACATCGATGAGAAAGAAGAGTGCTATTGCCAGGGAAACACCTTCAAGAATCTCTCTAACACCTTTCTTCTTCTCACTGATAGCCAGATCCACAATCACAACTATAATGTCCACAATGATAAGTACAACTCCAAATACTCTGCAAAAAGAAAAATACAACTTGAGAGGTAGGAATGAATTGCTGACATTTATTGACTGAAGAGCACAAGCCCAGATTTTTGTTTTAAGCTCTTCCAGCAACAGTGCGTTCTCTTACATGCAGATTGAGGCCTGCTTGTATAAGCAGCTGAAGGATTCAAATTGTATTTTTAAAGTGATCTGCACAGAGTACTTCATCCATGTGGAACTGCACATTTACCAGTTGTAGTTATTAACCCATAATTCCACAGCTACCTAGAAGCAGTGCAAACATGAATGCTTTAAAGCACACAAGTGTTGGTGCTGTCTTTCAGTTTACTCACCTTCCCTCCCATGCATAACTTAGTGTCTAGTCCCTCAAAAATAACTGTCTTTAATGGCTTACCTTGTATGCAGTCTAGGTGCTGAAACAACTGACCAACCAGTTGTTCAAAGACTGCCACAGCCATTAAAGAGCTTTTATCCAAGTCAACAGCATTTATAGTTCTGACTTTAAGCTCTCCTTGAAGAATCTGTTTAAGACTTCTTTCCCAATCAAAGTACTTCTCTCAGGTCACCCTTTCAGGGGGTGATAGGGGATTCAGTCCTTTCCAGACAGAGCAGGCTGGAGTCACTGTTGTTCAAGGAACTCTTCAAGTTCTCACACCAGAAATAAGGACTATTTCTACCTTGCCCATATCATTACAAGCATGATCTTTTACCTGAATCCAAATGACATCACAAATGGGGAAATTTTTCTCCTAATTGCACTGCAAGAGAAGAGACTTGGCATCAAGACAAGTGACGTTTTGCTACTGATATTAGCCATCACAGCACTATTACATTATTTTGGTTTTAGAATTCTATATAGCAGTGATTTCTGTAAGAGGAGATTATTCAATTGCACTCATGAGTTACATAGGTTAAGACAATACTCAAAAGCAATACTTTGACCACTCATTAGAAGTAGTATTTGTCAGTTACAGACCCTAGAAATACAGCAGTACATACTTACGCATAACACTATTCAGTGTCACTAGAAGTCTGGCTTAATGCCCAGTTATAAACTTTAAGAAGTGGGCTTATAAAAATAGATGTTCACCAAGAGGAAGATTAAAGGATAAACATATCTTAAGGTATCTTGTTCAAGATATTGGCTTATTATATCAGAGGATTTTTTTTCCCAGGCTGAGAAAGAGTTGCACTTGTTAATAGCTCCACTACTGCTTCTGTGCTCTTTGAATAGAGGAAGACAAGTCCCCCTTCTACCTTTAAAAGGAAATGTTGGTTTGGCTTTCAGATTGAAGACTCAAGTGCCTTTTAAGAAAATGAGTTACTGAAGCTAAGTTCTTCCAATTGTGAGAGTTTTCTCCAGCCCTAGCAGGGTTCCAGCTCCTGTTTTTAGCTACAGAAGATTTGTTGCCTCTTTAGCATGCTTTAAGCTTTCTGGTTTAAAGCTAGGCCTTTGTGTAGCTTATCTTGCTAGCTGAAAGTCTTCTTAGGCTATACCAAGAACTAAGGTAGGAGAAGTTATCTGCAAAACCAAAGTTCTGACAGTTTGAAAAACAGATTGCTGGTATGTTAAGTAATCCTGGGATTATTTAACTACTGTAAGCACCAAGTCTTTTCTTAGACACTTAAAAGAAAACACCTTCTCCAAGTATATCACTAACAGCAGGATCTACCAAAAGTTCTGACATACTGACAAAAAGTACTGGCAGATTCCTTTTGTATTGTTCACATATCTACCCTATGTTTCCTGTTATATACATTACTACAGTTCCCCTCCCCACCACCATTAGAGATACCATGGTCACAGGAAGTCTTTGTCAGCTCAATAATTTATATTGCACCCCAGTGACCTTGTCTGAGCTACTCGTTTCCTCTAGGGTAACTTGAGCATTGCATTCCACCTGGTGCATATCCATAACACCTCAATAACTCTGTTTAAGACAAGGCTGGGTATCTCTGAAGTGATGAGGAAGCACCTTGCTGGGCTTACCAAATTAGCCCACACTTCTCATTATTGAGTTCAAACTTTAAACTAAGAAACAAGGTCTAGCCAGAAAACATCTGCATCCTTAAGCAGGAAGGAAGTACTTAGGCTGTAGTACCCACTTTTCCCATGGAAGTCAAGGATGCAATAACAAGTCTCCTCTTGAAGGCGGCCTAGCATGTAGGAGGTTCTCCTTGCATTTAGAATGTCTAAGGAAGCACTGCAATAGTTACACTAACAGTTTGTTGGTCTATGTCTGCCCAGTCAACCCTACAATGCAAGTGTAGTAAGTATATCAAGACTTCAACTTCCACAGTCTAAGGACAAGTACCTTTATTAGGAGTATTAAAGACTGAAATATATACACACCACCCCAATTTGGCCTGCCAGCATCTTAAATCAGTTGGAGAGAATGTGGCACATTTGCTCACATACTTAGCTTAAAGCCTTTGTGAAATGCATTTGTAAATGCCAACTTCTGAATTCTAGAAAGACATGTTGACACATAGAAGAACCGAGATAACAGGCTTAATCTTACTGTTCTTGAGCTGCAGGAACAGAGAAACAAGTCTATTCACTTGTCACTGACTTGACTAAGTATGCTCTAAGAGTTAGTAATCTGGTGACAAGAACTACACACTGTTAGAAAATAACTACTTCAAGAACAGAGTTAATCACTAGCAAGTTCACACAGTTTAGTCTTGACAAGGGCATGATGCTTATTATCTGCCTCAGACACTCGTTCACCTGATTTTCTCACCAGCATTTGTTCTTCCGTGCTCTCCCAAACTCATTCCTTTAGGAAAATTTAATCAATGCAGTTTGGACTACACAGTCTCCATAACATGATAGACTTGTAGCTTGTTCTTGAATTGGGCTTTCCTCTCTAGAGGCATAAAGAAGCTTCTTGAACTTACTTATCTTTATTATATACTAGAACAAATGTCAATATCAAGTGATTTACTGGGCTTATCTCTACTTCAGCAAGCCATCTGCCACCTTATTTTGGCTCAAAAGTTTCCACTTCTGGGGGTAAGCAACACATTTAGTATATCATTATCTTACTTGGAACAGCTGTCTGGTTCATTATCCTCATCACGACCATCATCAATCTTCACTGTGGGCTCTTCTGCTGTTGGAGAGCTGGCAAAGGAACAACACAAGTCACATACTGATACAGATGTCAACTTTATACATTGCTACCCTTCGCTGTTTGAGAGAAAAGACTATTAAACTGTCAGCTGAGCAGCAGCCTGGGCCAGAGAACAGGCATAGTACCAGGGGAAGAAAGAGTTCCCATATATTGGCACAGCAGAACCCCTTGGCTTGTACTGACCAAGTTCCCATTAGCAGTCCATCTTTTGAAGGTATCTCTTTTCAGGAAGGAAGGGAACAGATGTTTTCAGCAGTAGGATAAAGAGCTTTGAAGTAGGGCATCCAAGAGCATGCTGAAGACTTAACAGTCCAGACTCTGGAAGTGCTGGAAACATGTATATGCAAAATCGCTTCAGAGAGTCCAAAAGACACTAATGCTATTACAGTAAACTACTTGTTCAGAGAATGAATGTTTTCACCAGGAAAAGCCATAGCACAGAGATGTTTTTGTGCAGAACAGGATACCAGACCGGAAACTGGAAGACCAGAGCAGCAGCAGCTGAGCTAGTGCTAGAACAGCATTTTTTTGGGGTAGTGGCTGCTTGCCATAACTTCCTTAAAAGGGTCTCTTCAGATCAAATTCAGCCACCTGAGGCGCTTTGAAGGCCACATGATGATTGCAGAGAAAATAAAGTGTAAATTCCAAATCCAGGAGCTTCTAATTCAGCCTTCTCCACAGAAATACTGTGCTGCATAATAGCATAGCCACAGTGTTTGCTGTGGCTCTGTCTCTGGCATCATCGCTTCTTGAGCAGGATCAACTTCATATGCATATTCAAGACTGATGTTGCCACACTGTTCTGAGGCAATCTAGCACATCTGAAGCATTAGTGTAACAACTCAAAGGATCCGAGTATTCTTTGTCCTCCACAACAGACCCATGCACCAGCACTGCTTCTGCTGTGTGGACTAATGCCCCTTTAAGCAAAAAGTTTAACGATGCATTTCCTACAGTGTCAGCAACCAGTACTGATGGTTTACCACCTGTACTCAGCATCAGCCTTCCCCCCCCCCCACATAACTTTGGTATTTAAAGCCAATTTTCCAACTCCAGTATCTCCAAACACCAGTATCCTCACTTTGTTCCTAGAGCTGAAACAAAGCTCTGGTGTTATATAGCCATTCAGCTTCGCTTCCCAGCTATTCTTCTGGGATATTCACTTGGAAGTTTCCACTTAATGTACAGCTGAAATGCTTCACTCATTAAAGGAGGCTGCTGCTGCTACAGCAATTTTGCCACAGGTCACTTGCTTATACTCGTAGGCACATGAAGTACACAAAATGTCACCTTCTTATCCTCTACTGTGATTAAAATAAGCCAAAATAAGAATGAGCAACAGTGGTATTTTGGGTTAGGAAGCCAATCTTCAACACAAAAACAGAAGCCAAGTCTGAGTATACTGTTTCCACTGTGCTCTCACACAAAAATTCAGTTCTAGATAATGCTTTCCTCAGAGGGAGTTTGTTTTGCTGAGCACTCTGCATCTACTTGTTGTCCAAGCTGGACCAAACTCTCTGCCACAAGCTATTACATTTAGTCTTTGAATACTAGGGTAGAAGAGAAGAAAACAAAGATACACTGGAAGAACTTATTTCCTCCCCACACACTCTGAACTTCAGACTTGAGCCTTTTAAGGAGAGCAGAGCAAGAACATGTTGCTCTACAAGACAGCTTGACAGTATTTCTGGAGGAGGCTAGAGGAGAAGAGGCTTTACTGTCATGAGCTTGTTATACCAGGGCTGGGTGCTCTGTATTTAGTTCTTAACTCCTTCTAAGAAGTCAATCACAACAGTGTACTTCTCTCAAAGATATCAATCCTCACAAAACCCAGCATTTTGAGGGGGGGGGGAGGGGAAATACAAAGACTTTGTGCTATATAAGCTTCAAACACTCCACCATTAAGCTCTTGGTTATATTTAAAGCACTGAGAAACTCTAGACAGGGGACCACACGCAGCATACTCCACACCCATACACTGGTGCAGCTCATTTCACTCACCTGGATGTTTCTGTCAGCTCTGCCCCTTGTTCATACCTCACAGCTGTCATTTTGCCTGTTGTTGTTCTGCTGGTCTTAGGAGAAGCACATCTAGTGAAAGAGAGATCAGTACCAGAAGCAGTGAATACCGGCATCCTGCAGCAGCCTCACACCTCACCAGCAGACAGCTGACAAAGCGCAATCTTTACCTGTAAGGCTGGCAAGAGTCAGTGCACTCAGCAGCATGGTGAAGGTTTTTTGACTACACCCAACATGCCACAGTGACAATAACAACACTTTTAGCTCACGGCAAAGCCTCTTCCCCTGCTTCAAGCTATGAAGCAGCCATGAGCCCCAGCGGGCACCTCTGGGGCAGGGAGGGCAGCCCCAGGCCGCTCCGGCAAGCGCGGGCTGGAAGCCCGGGGCGCGGGTCCGAGAGCTCCCGGCACACATCAGCGCCTCCGGCGGGAGGCCCGCGCTTCGCCCCCCCGCACCTCTGCTCTCTTACAGCTGCCCCGGGCACAGCCTCACA